CCCCAAAACCCCAAAACCCCAAAACCCCGCGATTCATTAAATTGGGAATTTTTACTAATTATTGATTATAAATTAATAATTAAAAAACACTTAATATATTGTTTTCAATGAATTCTATTGGTTCTTCTATTCTTGATTCTCAATAGTAATCTTCATATGTTTTTAGCAAATACTATTTTACTTTTAATGAAACATTGTTTCTGTTTGAGAGTTGCATATCATCTATTACCTTGTCATTTACTTTAATCTTCTTACTATATATTTCCTATCCATCAAGAACTGAGATTATCATAGTGGGGCTGGAGTCCTTGGCCAACTTGCCTTCTCTCTAAACTTACTCAGCTCCTAATCTCATCCAAACTAAAATTTATTCCCTATTAATTTTTACTATGCCTGGAAAATATACACGTAATTAAAAGGTGGACAATTCATTACTGAATACTCAAGAATTCGATCAAAATGAACTAATAATTTTTGGTAATATTTGTGAATTAAACTAAGTGTTATAATAATGGATAACTATAATAATTAACACTACTTTAATACATTATGCACTCCAATTGTCTGCTTTTAACTGTGGCTTATATCATTGGTTCTATGATTCTGATTTGAAATACTGCAAATTGTCAATAAATGTGTTTCAAGAATTATACATCCAGTGATACGAAACATCTTAATTTTGTCATTGGAAATGCAATTACAGACTATACCTCCTTATAGTCTTTTGATGTTAAAGATGATGAATTAGCTGTCATCTTTTTTGTCTTAACAGAGTCTAGACCGTACATCATGCTTTATGATGTAAAAAAAAGTTAGCAGAAATGGGTTAGATACAAAGATAGTAACTCAGATAACTTTGAAGCAATCAGTTTTTTAACAAAATAATCATAAATTGTAGTTTTGGATTCGAAGAATGTACTTATTTACATTGATAAGGTTACAGGTAAAATTGACTTGCAGTATCAATTAAAGTATACTTAACAGTATCCTTAAAGAATGATATTAGATAAGAATGATGTAGGATACATTGCCTGTAATGGCGACAACTTAAAATGGACTATTCTTTATGTTTTTTAATAGATTCCAGATAAAAATCTGACTAAATGGGAAATTGACAACCCGATATCTTGGTATGGAAATTATGCTTTAGATTTAACTTTATCGAAGGATTAGTAATACATTATATTTAGTACAGCTGCTCAATATTTCAGCAAGTATCGAAATGGAATATTAAGGATAAATACAAACAATGTCCCAAACACTGAGATGTTCATTCAAAAGAATGAAGTTATTGACCAAGGTAGTGATAGAAATTTGATAATTCAAGGGCTGTATGGGGAAGGTGATCTCATTATCGGAATAATGAATAACCCTGATTCAGGCTCTGGAACCAAAATAGGTGTTACAGTATTAAATACTACCACTAATGATTTTAAGCTATATTATTAGGAGTCATTTGGATACACATATTAAGAGGTAAAGGCATCTCTGATAGTAAATAAGACAATAGTTAAGTTTTTCCTGAGTACTTTTAACACCCCATCTTCAGAAAAATTTCAATGGGTCTGCACATTTTCTCTTTTGAGTCGAGATAAGATTTAATTTCAACTGCTCCAGGATTACCCATACAAGAATACTATCTTTACATATATTTTAAACTGAAATAATAGTCATCTTTATATGAGTGGTTATTTGTATTAGCAGTCTGGAACTTATCCTCAGTTATTTATAAATCAATATATTGATGATCCCACATGCTAATATTAATAGCCAATTTCAAGCTAAATAATCTCAGTTTACCCTGAGGTTGACTTGGCCATTGATAATATAAATCCTTACATTAGAATTTAAGAAAGAAATTATGATATTATTTAGCCTAGTGATATCGATACTATAACTAAAGGTACATTCAAAAATGCTTATAACAATAAAAAACCTTGCTAAATATCTCCTATTCAGTATGGATAAGGTTTCGAAATAATAGCTCCTTATTCATTAAATGATACAGTCATATGCTACGCTGACTTACCATGCTAGGTTACAATGGGATAATACAAAGTTGAGCTTAATTGCTCTAATTTAGGTTAAGGCATAGAGATTAATCTATTTGAATCTAGTAATAATGATCTTTGGTTTCATGAATAAAAAAGTTACTCTGAAAAAGGATTGATTACTTATCTAAATATAACCTTTAACAGCAGCCAGTACGGTCTGTTTAAAAGATACTTAAATATGGTATATTTACTTTCATAAAATGATCTAATAATAAGTACTAAGTTTCAATTAACATTCAAAGTGCATTGGCCTTGTGAATTAGCTAAAGTACAATGGGATGGTGACTAAAATGTATACCTATAAAGAAATAGAAGTGTAATAGATGTATAGCTAAATATGTTCAAATTTTAGGATGATAATAATTGCTTCAAATACAATATAATTTAGGTTATTCAAGATGGGAGATATTCTCAAAGTCTAGCTAATTTCAATGATTGGGTACTTTTTAAGGATAACACTTATCCATACATATCTATAAATTCTTCCTATAGTCTTTCTTCAACCAAATATATAGCTTATATTTAAGCTATTAACTATAACCTTACTAGCAATACACTAATTAACAGCACCTACAGGTTATTATACATACTTTTCGATCCAATTAGAGAGATTAACTCTCCACCTTACTTTACCTCTTATGTTCCGAAATTAATAACAGCTCCCAATTAAGTCAATTAATATAAAATATCTGAGATCAGAGATAATTAGTTCGATAATTTCACCTTATAAATTGACATTGGAATTGCATTTTCCTTTGTGTCTCTTAAAGATGGATACTTATTGATATCTCCAACTGAGAATGATAGTGGTAATTACAGAATCATATTTAAATTAAAGTAGACTAATTACCCTTACATCTCAAGAATTTACAATCTTGATATTTTTGTAGAAGAGTTCGCATCAATAGAATCATAGGTAAACTCACCTAGGATATTCTAAATGACTAATTCTGCAAGAATCATATCAATAAATGCTACTGGATATGCAGTTGTGAGATTCAAAGATAAATTAGAGAAACCTAAGTATTTCACTGATATAGACTATAGAAGAATTAAAATAGAAATATACTATGAAATTCAATAAGAAAGTGAATTAATAGACTATAAAATGATTTCAATTTCAAGAGATACTATAACTTTTAAGCTTTTGTTCAAAGATATTTACAAGATTTCAAAGTACTAGGAATAAGACACTATCAGCATTAGATTTCTTGATATGTCCTTATTTTATAAAAATGATTCTAACAGATTTAGCCCCCGATATCTAATGAAAAGGAGTATACCTCGATAGATACCAGAGTGTAAAACTATTATAAAATCTTATTCAAATATAGATCTAGCTGATTTTCTTGTTTAATATGGATTAGGATTCCAACTAGCTTCTAATACTGTAGTTAGTACTAATCTCATTGTAACTCTTTTAATGTAATTTCACAACATTTCATTTCGTTCTATAGTTCATAAACACTTTAACATCTTTGGAGTGCAATTAATTCTTTCCAGATATTATCACACTTACCGATGATTGCTATCAATTCACCAGCTAATGTACAAATTTTCTATTTATATGTGCTCACACTAGCAACATTCAATGTTCTTCCATTGCATTCAGTATACTCAGATATTCTACAGCTTAATGATGAAATAGACTAGCCTATGAATGATTATTTTTCTTAATATGGATATCAATCAATGAATGTTATTATGAACCTAGGAACTATATTCCTAATTACTCTGGCAAATCTCAGCATTATATTCTTAGCATTCCTATTGAAATTACTAGCAAAGATTTGTAAAAGGTACCATTTTGCTATTAACTTTCTCATTTATAGGCTAGATAGGGTTTATTAGTGGGTGATTAGAAAACTTTATATGAATTACTATATAAGATTCTTCATTGAAGTATACTTAGAATTAGCTTTGTGTTCAATGATTAACTTTCAAGTAGTAAGAGATTACTGTTAATTTAACTAATAAAATAGGATTAAAACTTATAATCATCTTTTGGCCACAGAGTTGGATTGATTCTTTCAACTTGTATAATGATATTGATATTCCTATTCCCAATGCTAATCTTGCTTTTGATGGTCACTAATTATGATCATTTACAAGATCCAGATTTGATTTCAAAATATGGCTCATTTTATGAGTAAATCAGAACTGAAAGACTATCAAGTACACTATATGTATTCTCTTTTATCGTCAGAAGATTTTTGTTTTGCTTTACAATTGTGCTTTTGAGGGATCATCCTATTTATCAAATATACATTCTTATGTACAGTTCGCTATTTATACTAGTATATGTGATAAATTACATGCCATTCAAATCTAAATTTGATAATTATATTGAAATTTTAAACGAATTTTCAGTCTTAGCCAGTTTTTATGTGATGATGTGCTACACTGATTTTTTGGCTGATGATATGGAAATCAAGATGAATCTAGGCTGGGTTTTGATATTTATATCTTGCGGATGTTATAGCATCAATATGATGATAATAATACTAATGTTAATTATCAATTAGGCCACAAAGGTTTATAGAATAATAAGAAGAGCTGTTCATAAACTTAATATTAGATTTAAGCAATTCATGCTTCGTAGAGAAAAGGCAAAACTATATTAACTTAGACAATTGTAAGAGTTGCGACAATTTTCTTAAAGAGGCTAGGATCAGCCTAATGGATTATAAATTTAAAATGAGCAAAGTTTAGGCAATTATAATACTCACTCAAACCTATAAAGGAAAGAGAATGATGATTCAGGGATGTTTATAGAATCATTTAATAGCATGGTTTCAGTAAATTCCTCAATAGATCTAAAATCTAGGAATTAATAAAAGAAAAAGCGTCATTTTAATTAGGAATTTAATAACTCTCCCTCAAATCACATAAATAGTTCTAAGATTCTAGATTTTGCCGGCTATTCGAATTCAATTGAGGATATGTCATTTGATTAGAGTAGAACATGGTCTAGAATCAAACTAGTACAGCCGATAAGTTTAGATTTTCCCACTTAAAAACACTTTGAAAAACCTGGATAAGTAGATATTTATTCGAAAAAATAGGCTGCTAAAGATTTTAAGCATCTTTTCTGATTATAAATAAGACTTAAGAATTTGATTTTTAATCAACCATCAATCGAATTATTAAAACTTGCTTTTGTGAAAAAGACAATAATTATAATCCATTCATGAATTAAGATATTTTAGATAATTAGATATAATTGCACTCCCAAATAATTATTGACTTTTGTATGTTGGGGTTTTGGGGTTTTGGGG